TCTCCCAGTGAAGGGTAACCGTAGGTTAAGGTGTTTGGTTGTCTTGGTTATTGGAGACAAACGCAGACGACTCTGACGCGAAGTCAGGTAGCTGCTGGGAATTGGTATCTCCCAGTAAAGGGTAACCGTAGGGTAAGGTTCGAACTGTGAGGTTGTTGGAAAAAATGCAGACGACTCTGACGCGAAGTCAGATAGCTGCAAGGAATCGGTATCTCCCAGTAAAGGGTAACCGTAGGATAGGTTAAGTTTAGGAGTTCGGTTTGAGTACACAAGGACTGAATCGTATGAATAATACGCGTCGTTAATAAAGCCTCACAACTTGTTAATTTAATAGAATAATAACTCAAGCGGTAAAGTTATTATGTTGTGGGATCGTTACACTGGCTAGGATTGGTGATTCCAAAGTAAAGGTTTAATGATTGATTTTACAGACTTCTAAGGTTTACCAAAAAGTATATATTCAAAATAACTATACTAATTACAAATGTCTAGTGTCGTGTTGTCGCGGTTAGTGTATGAAGTTAAAATTACCTAAATGTTGCTCGGTGTTGACGCACTGGCGATGCGGGGGTCGAGAGTACTTTTAAATGCCGTAATAGATGAAACCCGTCTTCGCGGATCTATAAGGTTAACTATGATCGAAAGGGAAACTGAAGCCCGATCTCACTAGAGTACTACTCTGCAGACGATCAACGTGTCTCTAACGAGTAACTCTTTCGTACTAGCCCCCGAGCAACGAAAATCATGGGTTTATATACCCTTAAATGTTGGTGGGGAACCGTCAATGATTTCCATATTAGGAAATTTGACGGTTAGGATTTTCGTGGCTCTGAGGTGAGCAGCTGCGTTCCCTGGGAAAAGGGTAGATTAGAAACTATCCCACGCAACGCGAGTCAAAGATGATATTAAGAGGATGCAGCTGCAGGATGCACTCCCGTGAGACCAAGCTCCAAATTCCAGAAGGGTAGATAAAAAGATTAATGAACGCGAGCTTCTAAAAAACGGAGAGTTTCTGTATACGTAACAATAAATATATCTTTTTTTATTTTAGAATGAGATATTTTATATTTTATATCAATAAAGTTTAGTTATATTATATTTTTAGATATTAATAGATTACTATTTATTAGAGTTATAATAATTATTTCAAGTATAGTAATATTTTATAGATTAGAATATATAAGCATGGACTTATGTATTAAGCGATTTTATTATTTATTAATTTTATTTATTATTTCAATATGTTTAACAATTTTAGGCCCTAGAATTTTAACTATTATATTAGGATGAGATGGACTAGGAGTAATTTCTTACTGTTTAGTAATTTATTATAATAGAATAATTTCTTTAAACTCTGGAATATTAACCATTATATGCAATCGATTAGGAGATATTGGATTATTAATAGGAATTTGTTTATGTTCAGTTTATGGTTCATGAAATTTAATATTATATTTTTTTAATATTAATTTAATTAGTTTTATATTAATTTTGGCAGCTTTAACAAAAAGAGCTCAATTATCTTTTTCTTCCTGATTACCTGCAGCTATAACTGCCCCTACACCTATTTCATCATTAGTTCATTCTTCAACATTAGTAACTGCAGGAGTTTATTTAATAATTCGATTTTATGAGTTTACTATATACTGAAATTTAAACATATATTTAATAAATTTATTTATCGTAACTATATTTATAGCAGGAATTATAGCTAATTTTGAATTTGATTTAAAAAAAGTTATTGCTTTATCAACTTTAAGTCAATTAAGATTTATAATAATAGTATTAATAATAGGATTTTATGAATTAGCTTTTTTTCATTTAATTATTCATGCTTTATTTAAATCATTAATATTTTTGTGTGCTGGTGATTTTATTCATTCAATAAATAATGATCAAGATATTCGTAATTATAAAAGTATAATAATAATTTATCCAACAAAAAGTTTAATTATAATATTTAGTTCATTTAGATTAATAGGAGTTCCTTATTTTAGAGGATTTTATTCAAAAGATTTAATTATTGAATTAATAATAAATTATAACTTAAATTTTATATGTATTTTTATATTTTTTATTTTGATATTATCGACTATTAGATATAGTATTCGATTAATAATATTTTTAATAACAGGAAATTTTAGTTTAAACACTTATATACATTTCAATGAATCAGGATTTTTTATTTTTAGCTTATTTATTTTATTTAATTATATAATTTTTTATGGATTTAATTTTTTGAATCTAATATTTAATAAGTTTTATTACTCAATGTGGATATTAGATAAATGAATAATTTTGGAATTTTATATTTTAGGAATATATATAGGATTAAATTTTTATTTAAAAATATTTATTAATAATTTAATGTTCAATTTTATTTCAAGAATATTTTTTTTAAATAATTTTAATAAAATTATTTATTTAGATACTTTTAATTTAATTTTTAATTAAGAAGTTGTTGTTGAAAAAGGTTGAATAGAATGAATAATAGGTTTATATTTTACTAAATGGTTAAATTTAATTTTTTTAAGAAAATTAAATTTTAATAATATAGTAGTAAATTTAAATTATTTTATTTTATTTTATTTTTATTTTTAATTTACTAAATTTAAATAGCTTATTAAGAGCACAATATTGAAGATATTGAGGTAATTTAAAATTTTTAAATATTAATAAATTAATTAAATTAATTTTATTTTGAAATTATAATGTTTTTATTAAACTATATAAATAAAAAGAAGTAATTATGAATAAACATTTTTTTTTGAATCAGAAATTCTTATAATAATTATTTCTTTAATTAGAAATTACTCAATTAAAATATTAACAATAATTTACCTCTTTTTGGTTTTAATTAAATTAGATATATTAAATTAATTAATTATTATAAAATGCAATATTATTGTTATAAATTAACTAATTTCCATATATAAAGTAAAATTTACATTTAATTTCGAACTAAAAATTGATTAATTTAATTAATCTATATATATAATATTTTAAATTAATTAATTCATTTTAAAAAATTAAAAGATCATTCTAGTCATAATGTGAAAATTAAAATTAATAGAAATAATATAAATGTTAATCTTGTATTTATATTATAATATAAATTAATAATTTTTATTATAGGAATTATTAAAATAATTTTAATATCAAAAATTAAGAATATTAAAGTAATTATATAAAATTGAATAGAAAATGGCAATCGGGATCTAGTTAGAGGGTCAAATCCACATTCAAATGGTAAAATTTTTTACCGATTTTTTTTTACATTTATTGAGAAAAATAGATTTAAAATTAAAATATAAATTAAAGTTATAATTATATATATTTATTTAATTAAAAATAAAACTATTTAATTGGAAGTTAAATGTAATTATTATACTATATATATATTTAATTAAATATTCATCAATAAATGGAAATATAAAGAAATTATCAAATAATGTCAACAAAATGTCAATATCATGAAGCTGCTTCAAAGTGAAAATGATGCATTTTAGAAAAATGTTTTTTAGTTAAACGAATATAACATCTAGTTAAAAATATAATTCCAATAATTACATGTAGGCCATGAAATCCTGTTATTATAAAAAAAATTGAACCAAAAATTGATATCATTAAAACAAAATCTTGCTTCAAAATATTCAATTGCTTGTAAACTAGAGAAATAAATTCCTAAAATAAAATATATAAATAATCTTAATATTCTATTATTTATTTTATTATTAATTAAAGAATGATATCTTCAAGTAATTATTAAACCTGATAAAATTAAAATAAAGGAATTTAATAAACAATTTAATAAAGGAATATCATAAGGATTAAATATAATAATTATTTTAGGCGATCAAATTGATCCAATTTCAATATTTGGAGAAATTGCTCTATGAAAATAAGTTCAAAAAAATGAAATAAAAAAAAAGAGTTCAGATACAATGAATAAAATTATTCCTAATTTTATTAATTTATATACTGTTAAAGTATGCCATCTTTGATAAGTTCTTTCTCGAATAATATCTCGTCATCATTGATATATTGATATAATTATAGGAATTAATCTTATTATAATAAAAATATAATTATTTAGTGAAAATCAATTTAATATTCTAATTAAAAGATTTGTTAAATTTATTGATAAAATTAAAGGTCTAATAGTTACTAAATGAAAAGGATGATTTTGGTTAATTGTCATTAGTTTACTTCATTAAAGTATAAAATACTTAAAATAGAAAATACATATGATTGAATAATAGATACAGAAATTTCTAATAATATTAATATATTTTGAATTACAATAACTAAAGGAATTAAATAAATAAATATATTATTTATCGAAGATCCAAGTAGTGATAATAATAAATGACCAGCAATTATATTTGCTGATAATCGAATTGCCAGAGTTCATGGTCGAATAAAGTTTCTAATACTATAAAATTTATTAATATTAATGGAGTGTTTAAAGGTACTAGATGAACAAATATAGAATTTATGTTAATTAATCAACCATAGAATATAAATCTTAATCATAAAGTTAATGAAGTAGACAAATTCACTGATAAATGTCTAGTTGGTGTAAAAATATAAGAAATTAAGCCTATAACATTTATTAATAAAATATAAATTAATATTCTAACAAAGATAATAATATTTAACTTGTAAATACTTTTTGTTAATAATTTAAATTCTTTAAAAATTAAGTTTATAAATATTAATCAAACAATCTGTACACGAGAAGGTAAAAGTCAATAGGAATAAGGTAAAAAAAATAATGGTATAAATAAAGTTAATCAATTCATTGAATTAATAAATCTTGTAGTAGGATCAAAAATTGAAAATAAAGTTGTTATCATTTTCAGTTTCAATAATTATTATTTGTTTTTATTTTTTGAGATTGTCTAAAATAAATATTCTGATAATAAATAATAATAATAAATATAAAAATTATAGAAACAGAAATTCTATATATTAATTTGTGTATCTATAATAAATAAATTTAAATTATCTGCAAAAGGTGAATTTGGGTCTTGAAATGAAATTATTTTTCAATGAGAAATTTTTAATAAAAAATAATTTTATTTATGAATCTTAAATTCATTGCACTTTTTCTGCCATATTAAATTAATTATACTAAATTTTTATTTATAATAATTGGTAGTTCATTATATAAGTGATCTATTGGAGGGTAAATTTGTAATCATTCAAGAGATGATTGAGAGTATTTAAAAATAATTATTCGTTTAAAAATAATCTTTCTAAAATAATATAAATAAATAAAACTAATCTATTTAATGAAATAATAGCTCCAATTGGAGATATAATATTTCAACAATAATAAGAATCTGGGTAATCAGAATATCGACGTGGTATTCCTATTAAACCAAGAAAATGTTGAGGAAAAAATGTTAAATTTACTCCAATAAATATAAATGTAAATTGTATGTAGAGTAATTTAGAATTTAAATAATAACCAGTAAAAACAGGAAATCAATAAATAAATCTTGTAATAATAGCAAAAACAGCTCCCATTGATAAAACATAGTGAAAATGAGCGATAACATAATATGTATCGTGTAAAATAATATCAATTGATGAATTTGATATTATAATTCCTGTAAGTCCACCTGTAGTAAATAAAAAAATAAATCCCAATGACCAAATAATGGAAAGGTTTAATTTAATTTTTACTCCATAATATGTTGCTATTCATCTAAATACCTTAATTCCTGTAGGAACGGCAATAATTATTGTTGCAGAAGTAAAATAAGCTCGAGTATCAACATCTAACCCAACAGTAAATATATGATGAGCTCATACAATAAATCCTAGAAATCCAATTCCTAACATTGCATAAATCATTCCAAAATTTCCAAATGTTTCTTTTTTTCCTCTTTCATTAAAAATTACATGAGAAATTAATCCAAACCCAGGCAAAATTAAAATATAAACTTCCGGATGTCCAAAAAATCAGAATAAATGCTGGTAAAGAATTGGATCTCCCCCTCCAGCAGGATCGAAAAATGATGTATTAAAATTACGATCAGATAATAATATAGTAATTGCTCCTGCTAAAACAGGTAATGATAATAAAAGAAGAATTGCTGTAATTATTACTGATCATGAAAATAAAGTTATTTGATCATAATTTAAACTAGAATTTTTTTATATTTAAAATAGTAACAATAAAGTTAATAGCTCCTATAATTGATGAAATTCCTGCAATATGTAATGAAAAAATTGTGAAATCAATTGATAAAGTGGGGTGATATATAATTAATGATAAAGGAGGATAAACTGTTCATCCAGTTCCTGATCCCGAATAAATTATTATTCTAAGTATTAATTTTATTAAGGATGGGGGTAATAATCAAAATCTTATATTATTTATTCGAGGAAAAGCTATATCTGGTGAATTATAAATTTGATCATTATTAATTCATATACCTGGAGTTCTTAATTCTATTCGAATAATTATTCTCAAAGATGTACCAACTATTCCTGATCATATAGCAAATAAAAAGTATAATATTCCAATATTTTTATGATTAGTTGAATAAAATCGATTATTTAATAAAATAAATATTTAAATATTTAACATTTATTATTTATATAATATTTTAATCTTTGAAGGTTTTAAGTTTATTTAACTTAAAATTTTAATATTATACCTGAAAAAGGAATAAATTGTAAATTTATTTATAAAGATTTTAATTCCTTTAATATTATATTTTTAAAGTTTGTAAAATTTTAAACTGCAAATTTAAAGATATATATTTTTATATTAAAAATTTTTATTAATATATAAAAAATAAAAAATAATATAAATAATGAAATTATAGAAAAAGTAAAATTAAATAAATAATTATTATTAATATATATATTAAAATTTAATTTTGAATTAATTAGATAGTAATTTAAATTATTTAAGTTTAAATAATTTCATGTTATAATTAAACTAGAAATTATAATTAATATTATAGTAATTACTATAATTGAACTAAAATTAGTTAAATTTTCCAGAATTGATCATTTTATTATAAATGTAAACATAGGAGGTAAATTTCTATAAATTACAACTATAATTAGATAAATAAATTTATTTATTCTAGTTATTGATATGTTAATTAATATATTTTTATTATTTATATTTATACAATTTAAAAATAAAAATAATATAAAGAAATAAATTAAATATATAATGAAATATAATAAAAATAAATTCATGCTTAAAAATATTAGTAATATTAATAACGTTGATTGATTAATTGATAAAAAAAAAATAATTTTTTTTAATCCTAATAAATATAAAGCTAATAATCTTGATAAAAATATTCGCGCACCTGGCCTGGGCGACCAGGTCAGGCGGGGAGGTGATACCTCACCGCGGCGCGTCCCCAGGTGGCGGATAGGGAAACGCTCGTCACGTACTCTTCGGAGTGCGTGCAGGGTAGGAATGAAATAAAATAGCTCCCGCGGACCGAACACTACGGGAGGAAACCCCGAATCAAAAACCAAACATGAAGAATACATATAGAGAGGAGAGATCTACGGTGCAGGGGGTCGGATCCCCAGTACCGGCGTCCGTCAGGGGTGAGCACGCGGGCCCCGGGACGTCGTTATCTGACGACCGCAGTGCTACGCAGGTTGACCACTTGGCCTGCGTAGCATTAAATGCTACAAGTGAAGGGACGAACGTCTCCGGATCCGATAGGAAGATGAGATAGACGTCCACATCGTCGGACGGTGGCTGCCGGAGGCGACGCGGCGCGGATGATAATTCATTCGTGCCGCCTCGGAGCCCTGTCCGTCAGGAAGTGGCCGCGGTATCTCCCCAACTCGGCGGGGGAGATGCCGTGACACAAAGTGTTCCGGGCCAGGTATCTCCATTGCGGAATCCTGGCTTTTGTGGGCCAGGAAATGGGGCCAGTTCTGAACGCGCCGATGCCAACGACCACGGTGTCGGGGACCGGGCGTTCAGAACTTTGGCGACCCTTGAGCGAGCGGAGAGCTCGCAATTAGCGGCAATGAAAACCGTCCTTGATGTCATGCTACAGGCATCTCTCAAACAGAGGAATGTCAGCATGGACATCAAGGACGGAATGCAGAAGCTGGCGGAGGCGGTGGACGCACTGGGCCATGGGCTAGTGGAGAGACAGCGTGCCCTCCACATGCTGCTGGCCCTCGGCACGCTCACTGCACCGCCAGTCGGGAACACACCCGCCCCTCGAACACGGCCTGATCGGAAACGAGACAGGAACGTGGTTTTCAGCCCAGAGGAAGAAGCTGCCAGGGCGAAAAAGAAGCCGGCCGTGGACCAAGAAAAATGGTCCACGGTTGTGGGGAGAAAGAAGAGGGCGGACAAACCGTCTGATCCTCCACTCCCACGTCCAAAGCCGCGGAGAGGCAAGAAGGGGCAGATATCTGCCAAACCTCCGTCAACGTCGACGGCACCGAAGAATTCTGCTCCTCCAAAGGAGCAGCGTGCCGTCGACGAAAGGCGAAAGAGAAAGAGGAGGAGAAGGCGCCGTCGCCCTAAAACGAGGCGGACGGCTGTCCTCCTAAAGCCGGCCGAGGGCGCGACGTACGCGTCCATTGTGGGCGCGATACGTCGCCAGGTCCGGCGGGAGGAAGCGGACACGGAGGTCTGCCAAATAAGAAGAACGCGGGAGGGGGCCGTCCTTCTGGAGCTTGGACGATGTGGGGACAGCGCCAGGTTCCAGTCCGCGCTCCGGACGGCGGTGGGGGACACCGCGGCAGTACGGGGCCTGAAACCCCGCGCGACGATCGAAATCCTCGATCTTGATTGCGTCACGACCTCAGGAGAAGTCATGGACGCGGTCGCGCGGGTGACAGGGGAGTCGCCGGCGGAAATCCGCGTCTCCGTTCTCGCGACGAACCCCCGAGAGCTGCGGAAGGCCGTGGTGGAGCTTGGCGAAGGAGCTGCCGTTGAGCTCCTGGCCGCCGCCAAGCTCAAGATCGGCTGGGTCAATTGCCGCAGGTGCGGCAAGGATGGCCACAAGGCCGGCGTGCGAGGTCACCCTCCACTGCCATTTGTGTGCGGGGATAGAGGACGCGACAACGGACCTCTACGCGGGCTCGGGGAAGTGCCGGATCTTCCAGGAGATCCTCGCCGCAAAGAAGGGTAAGCCCTCTTCGCGGCCACGGTAAGGATCCTCCAGGGAAACCTGAACCGGTGTCGACTTGCCGATGACTTGCTAACGCAGCTCGCTATGGAAAAGCGAGCTGCAGTCGTCATCGCGAACGAGCAGTACCGCGATCGGGACTGCTCCACCTGGTTCAGGGATGATCTCGGCACCGCGGCAGTGTGGATCACGGATCCACGGAGAGTCCGTATAGACTCTCACGGAGCTGCCGCGGGACACGTCTGGATCACCAGCGGTGTCCTCACGTACGTCAGCTGCTATCTGTCTCCGAATGATAGCATCTCCGAATTTCGGGAAAAGCTCGACGTGCTGAAGGACACCCTACGCGACAAGTCCGGTGGGCTTGTCGTGGCTGGTGACTTCAACGCCCGAGCCTGCGAGTGGGGAATGCCTCGCCCCGACACGAGGGGAAGGTTGGTGGTCGATATGGCCTCCAGACTGGGACTCGTCGTGTTGAACGTGGGGTCAACGCCGACGTACCGACGCCCTGGATTCGGAGACTCGATACCGGATGTCACGCTGGTGTCTGAGGATCTGGTCCAGAGAGCGGCGTACTGGAGGGTGATTGGTGATTTCACTGGTAGCGATCATAGCTACATCACCTTCCAGTTGATCGGCGAGCGGCAAGCGCGGCCTCCGGGGATTAGACGCCCGAGAGGATACGTCACCTCTCGCCTGGATGAGGATAGGCTCTACGCGACTCTCCAGGCGGGCGTGGAGGCCTTGCCGCAGACCTCGCGTGACCCGTCCGATAGAGCGGGTGCCGAAGCTATCATACGCGGCACCCTTAACCTCATCCGACGGGCATGCGACGAGTCAATGCCAAGGAGGAGGCCATTCTCCGGCCGGCGGCAAGTGTACTGGTGGACCGACCAGATCGCCTCCCTCAGAAGAGAAGCCCTGAGGCGACGAGCTCAACGAGCTCGAAGTCGACCGGAGGCCGCCGCGCTGTCAGAGGACTACAAGGCGGTCAAGAAAGTCTTAACTCGTGCGATCAATAGAGTAAAACGCGGTGTTAGCGCGATCTCTGCGACGACCTTAACCGAGATCCGTTCGGCGAGGGGTACAAACTCGTCACCCGAAGTCTCGGTGGGTTGTCCGCGAGCCCGGAACTGGACGCGACCACGATACGGAGCATTGTGGACGCTCTGTTCCCTGCACATCCGATGAGGAGACACGATCTCGATCCGGTGGCAGGGGCGGACGTCCCAATGTTCACGGCGGCGGAACCCGCCGTTGCGGCCAGGGCTATGAAGCTCCGCAAGGCTCCCGGGCCGGACGGCATACCGTGGTTGCGAAGAGGTGTCTTGTACACGGGTATTTTCCCGGCGCAGTGGAAGTCGCACGGCTCGCGTTGATCAGCAAGGGGAAAGGGGAACCAGGATCTCCGTAATCGTATCGTCCGCTGTGTTTGCTAAATACAAGCGGGCTGCTGATGGAGAGACTGGTGAAACCCCGGTTGCACGAGACGATCTTGGCCGCTGGAGGTCTTTCGGACCACCAGTACGGCTACCGTTCCACCGTGAACGCGATCTCGCGCGTGGTAGACGCTGTACACGTCGCCGACACGGCTTGCCACGCCGCGAGATCCGTCGTCCTGCTGGTACGCTGGACGCATGGAACGCGTTCAACACGGCACGGTGGACAGACATGTTGGAGGCGTTGGAAACAACGTTTCGGCTTCCGGAGTATCTACTGTCAGTGATGGCGGATTATCTCCGGGACCGAAAGCTGTTGTACGAGACGTCGGACGGGCTCCGTGAACGACCGATCACTGCGGGTGCTGCGCAGGGATCGTCATGTACGACAGCCTCCTCTGCATGGGTATGCCAGAGGATTCGTTCCTCGTCGGCTATGCTGACGACGTCGCCGTGGTCATCACGGAGCGGACCGCCGAGCTGGCTCAGCTCAAGCTGAACCAGGTCATGCGCCGAGTGGGGCGATGGATGAAGGACCACGGGCTGCAGCTGGCGATTCCGAAAACGGAGATCGTCATGCTGACACGCCGACGTATCCCCACCATCGTCCCGATGACTGTTGGGACCGAGTCCATCCAGACTCGGAGGTCCGCGAAGTACCTGGGTGTTGTCTTGGACAACAAGCTCAGCTTCGCGGAACATATCCGAAGGTTCTCGATCAGGGCGGCGTCGTTGGCGACAGCACTTAGCCGACTAATGGCAAACGTGGGCGGCCCGAAGCCGAGCAAGAGGAAACTCTTGCTCTCGGCAACCCAGAGCGTCCTGCTGTACGGAGCCGAAATATGGGCAGATGCCCTTCGGCTCCGTAAGTACAGAAGCTGCATGTCTGCCATACAGCGCCAGCCGGCGCTTCGGGTGGCGTGCAGCTACAGGACCATCTCCGAGTGCGCAGTGCAAGCGGTCGCCGGGGTAATACCCATCGACCTGCTTGTATTCGAGCGGAAGAACATCTTCCAGCGCTCCTCGGAGACTAGGCGGGCCGAAGCCGTGTCCCACGAGCGCGTAGCCACGCTACGTGCATGGCAGCAACGCTGGGAGGCTGCCCAGCTGGGTCGGTGGACGGCTCGGCTGATAGGGGATCTGGCCACCTGGATATCCAGAACCCATGGTGAGGTGAATTTTTACCTCACCCAGTTCCTCACAGGCCACGGGTACTTCTGTGCATACCTGTCGAGGATGGGCAAGGTCGGATCCCCGGGATGCCGGTACTGCGACGCAGCAAGGGACGACGCGCTCCATACGTTCTTCGTGTGTGACCGCTTCGCCAGAGATAGGGTAGATCTCGGCGCCCTCGTAGGAGACGTCACCCCCGACAACATCGTGGGGGTGATGCTGCGGGGGCCGACCGAATGGGAAGCGGTCGCGCACTACGTGGAGCGTGTGCTGCGTCGCAAGAGAGAGGAGGGATGCCTGGATGATACTCCGGGCTCCCACTAGCTTCGGTTCTATCCGACCGGCGGAGGCTCTAGCGGGGCCTAATTGCCACGCCCCCGGACTGTTGTTATGCGAAAGCAGGTCTAGTCCGGGGGGCTAACGTGGCAAGCGGGTGGTTTTTTAGTGAGTAGGAATCTCACACTACCGGACGCTGGCATCGTCCACCGGCGCTCGGTGCCTATGAAGGTTTTTCCACCCGCCCAAATAAAAAAAAAAAAAAAATTAATTTTAATAATCAATTTTTATATTTCTAAAATATCAATATACTTATTAATAAATTTTATTTCAATAATTGGAGGAGTAATAATTATATTTCTTTATTTTACAAGATTTATTAATAGATATAAAGTAAAAATAAATAATAAAGAAAAAATATTTTTTATTAATATAATTTTATTAAATTTAATCATTATATTATTTATAATTAAATATAATTTAGTTATTGATAGTAATGAATATTATTATAACTATTCGAATATTCATTTAATTTATAAATATCCATATAATTTATTAACTTATTTGAGTATTATTTATTTATTTTATTCACTAACATTATCTATAAAAATATGTTCATTAAAATTTAAACCTATACGAAAAATAAAAAATTAAAATCATGTTAAAAGATCCTATTTTAAAAACTTTAAATTCTTCCTTAGTTAAATTACCTACACCAGTAAATATTAGATTATTTTGAAACTATGGATCACTTTTAGGTTTATATTTATTAATTCAATTAGTTTCAGGAATTTTATTATCAATTCATTACTGTCCAAATATTTATTATGCATTTGATATTATTCACATTATAAAAAATATTAAATTTGGATGATTGATTCGATTGATTCATATAAATGGAGCGTCAATATACTTCATTTTAATATATATCCATATTGCACGAGGAATTTATTACAATTCATTTAAATTTCATATTGTTTGATATATCGGAATTATTACCTTATTAATATCAATAGCTACAGCTTTTTTAGGATATGTACTACCTTGAGGACAAATATCATGTTGAGGAGTAACAGTTATTACAAATTTACTATCAGCATTTCCATATATTGGACAAACTATAGTTGAATGAATCTGGGGGGGGGGATTTTCAATTAATAATGCTACTTTAAATCGATTTTATTCATTTCATTTTATTTTCCCCATAATTATTGTAGTTTTAGTTTTTATTCATTTAATTTATCTTCATATAACTGGTTGTAATAATCCATTAGGAATAGATTCTAATCTTTTTAAAATTTATTTTCATCTATATTTTACTTTTAAAGACATTCTTTGATTTATAGTTGTTATAATAATTCATTGAATTATTATTATACAATTACCTTATTATTTAGGAGATCCAGATAATTTTATTCCAGCTAATCCTATATCTACTCCAGAACACATTAAACCAGAATGATATTTTCTATTTCCTTATTCAATTTTACGAGATATTTCTAATAAACTTGGAGATGTAATTATATTATTCATATCAATCCTAATTCTTTTAGTTCTTCCTACAACTTCTGTAGCTTATAAAATCAAAACAAATATATTTTATCCTCTAAGTCAAATTACATTTTGAATATTTGTAAATACATTCATTTTATTAACATGACTAGGAGGGCAGATAATTGAATATCTATATACTGAAATTAGTCAATTCTTTACTTTTATATATTTTTTATATTTTTTTATTTCACCTATTTTAAATTTCTATTAAGATAAATTAATATTTTATAACTAGTTAATAAGCTTAAATAAGTATATATTTTAAAAATATAAGATAGAAATTAAATTCTATTAACTTAATATTATAATTAATTCTTTAATACCGTAAATAAAAATTAAATAAATTAATGATATGGACAAAAACTTTTTCCAGCACATAAATATTATTTTATTATATCGAACGCGAGGTAATACTCCTCGAATTCAAATTACAAAAAAAACATGAAATATATAAACTAAAATAAATTTTAAAGAAAAAAAATTAACTCCAAAAAATAATAAAGTAATTAAATTTCTTACAAAAATAATTCTTAAATATTCTGCTATAAAAATTAATGCAAACTCACTCCCATAATATTCAGTATTAAATCCAGATACTAATTCAGACTCCCCTTCAACTAAATCAAAAGGAGTACGATTTAATTCAATTAATATTCTAATTAAAAACATCAAATATAAAGGAAATAAATAAATAATAAAAAGTAAATTTATTAGAAAAATATAAAAACTACTTAATGAAAATCTTTCAATTATTATTAATAAAGAAAATAATATTAAAAATAATCTAACTTCATAAGAAATTGACTGAACAATTGAACGAATTGAACCTAATATAGAGTAATTAGAATTAGAAGATCAACCACTTAATATAAAAGGGTAAACTCCTAAACATATAATTCTTAATAAATATAACACTCCTAAACTTATTGAATATAAATTTACATAAAAAGGAATAACTACTTAAATAAATATTGATAAAATTAAAATTAATATAGGTATAAATAAATAATTATAAAAATTAATTTTCTCAATTAAATAAAATTCTTTATTAAGTAATTTAATTACATCTCTAAATGGTTGTAATAATCCAATAATTGATAATTTATTAGGACCTTAACGATCCTGAATATAACCTAAAACTTTACGTTCAAATAATGTCAAAAAAGCCACTCTAACTAATATCATTAATATTATTAAAATAAAAAAAAACAAAATTTATATAAAAATAATTTATTAATGAATATATTATTACTTATATAAATTATATATAATTAAATTCTAAATTTAATGCACTTTATTCTGCCAAAATAATTATACAAAAATATAAAATTTTTAAAATATCTAGTCCTTTCGTACAAAAATATTTAAATTAATTAAAGATAGAAACCGATCTGGCTCACGCCAATCTGAACTCAAATCATGTAAGATTTTAAAAGTTGAACAGACTTAATTATTAAATTACTGCACTTAAAATTTATCTTAATTCAACATCAAGGTCGTATTAATAAATTTATTTTAATAAAAATAAAATACTGAACTAATAATATAAAATAAAATTTATTAAATAAAATTATTAATAAATCCGTTTAATTTAATAAATATGTTAAATTTCAATTTTTTGTCTAAAATCATTTTCCAATGCTTTTACTATGTTACTACTTTTTCTATTCTAAAAGTAAAAATGACGGGCGATTTGTACACTTAATATATTTAACTTCAATATAATTAATTAATTATATTTACTTTTAAATCCATCTTGAATAATAAATTAAAAACAATACAAATTAATTAAAACAAAATTTAATGTAACTCATATAAACTAAAATATGTAATATTTAGATTTAAATAATAATTATAATTAAAATTATTAAAAATAACATACTTATAAATTTGTAAAACAACAATACATTAACTAAATTTTAGTAAATCTTTTCGTG